TACGTTTTTATCTTCGAAATAATCCGTGTGAATAAATGCGCGAACGGAAACTTCAAGTGCAAATAAAACTTGAGATAAATATAAAATATCTGAAAAATCGTATAAACGATGCTAGTGAAAAATGACATAGAAAAAAAATAAGGAATGAAACTCACACTCGACTCGCGCGTTGGGAATTAGCGAATTAATTTGAAGATTAGATTCTTGTACGATCCAATTTTGTCGTTTCATTTCGTTCGGCGACGCTCGTGTTTCGTTCCTGAATTTGTTCATGTTCTACGGCGCATTCCGGCAATTCGTTCGTTCGATGACTAAGGATTACATTTACATGATTCCTCCTCTCTTCTTGGGGAGCGTCTCTTTTTTCCTTTCTCTTTGGTAGACGACGACGTGACAAGAATGCGGGAATACGCCCACAACCGAAATATCTACCTGCGCAACTCGTTTCCCCGGAGCGCTCGTGAGTCCAGACGGGGTCTCGATGTCGCGCGCTTTATTACGCGTCCCAACACCTCGTTACGAATTTCTGTTCGCGTTAATCGCGCTTTCGCGATCACGCGCGTCCTCGCAAAATACCCTACACCGTGTGGAAACCACGCGTCGCGGCGCTTCCCACTCTTTCGCAGCGGCGTAAACAGTTGGGACGACGGCCACGTAATTACGAGAGTTACACACGGCCGTAATTAACGGCAACGTATCTCCCGTGTTATCAGACGTGGACGTCCGCACGTGTTGAAAAAAATAGAAGAAAAAAAAAAAAGAGAGAGAAACTCTCTCCCAACTGCACCGTGGAGTTGTTCGAATCACATTTGCGTGCTCGTTTTTCGGAATAATTTGTCTACGCGTAGGAGAGTAGAAGGAAAAATATTTAGGACAGTATCTCGCCGAGAGTATTTCGATGGATCTGTATCTCGTGGAGGATCGATCGGCTCGTGATTGCGAAACTCACCGTTCCCGATCCAAAGCGACGACGGATGGAGAACTCGAACTCGTTCCTCTGAAGCGTAGGTAGCCGATTAGATCAACGATGCTGGCCGCAATTCGCTATCCATTCCGGGTGTCACTGCACTTAAAATCCACGCACACCCGACGCGGCCTTTTTCGGCAGGCCACCTAACCTAAACACGCCACCTAAACGCTCGAGGTCACCGATCTCCTTTCGAAGAGCAGCGACTCAATCCTTTCGTAGCGATATCGAGAAAATTCGCAACAATCAACAGTACGCATCCTTCTCATCGACTTTCATACCAAAAAAATCTTCAAAATTAATCAAAATTAAATAAAACAAAAAGGAACGTTTTTTATTAAAAAAGGATAGTCACTCGACAAACGTGAAGAGGAGCGAGTTTCATATTTCATTATTACACAATCTTCCGCCGAATTTCGTAGAACGTTCTGTCCGATCGAACGAGCGACCGCGGAGATCCTCGGATGGGAAAACGCGGTCGACGATGACGCGCCGAAGCGAGCGAGCGATCCGACGAGAGGAGCGCAGAGGAAACTCTCACCGATTACGCCGAACATAACGCTGCCGCCGATCGCACCTGGCGGCCATCGTCTTTTTCTCCGCTCCGGCCTCCGTCCGTTCAGCCCGCGTTCCCGTCTCGATTTTCCGACGATCACACGAAACACCTGAACGCGTGCGCGCGCGCGCGCGCGATCACCCGTCGCCCACCTTGCGAGAGCACACGTACCGCGTAAGGACGAAACCGACACGACACTGGATGGGAACGGGCAACAGGTTCGTCGGCTTGCCCCCGAGAAACGCGGCGATGGTGAGAGGGGAAAGGAGAGAGAGAGAGAGAGGACGCGGCCAGGTAAGAGAGCCAGGTAGAGCCGCCATTGCTCCTGACGCAGCATCCAACCTGGCAATGGTGTAATTCACGCGGGTCCCCGTGGGACCCCCCTATTAATCTCTGACGAAGGACGGAACTTGGAGAACTCTAACGACCGCTTTTTTTACACGGGCGATATTTTAAGAGTCAGAAGTGCTTGGCGTAGGTGTAATCGTACGAAATACGATCTTCCCACGGAATTATTATTTATATCATTATTTTCCGCAAACTATAGAAATTACTCAGAGGTCTATCTTTTTATAACTGTAATTTATTGTAATTTGTAATGATTCAATGCAAAAAGTTTCGAGTTGAGTCGAAGTGACAAGTTTTATTTCAGAGACAAATTTTTAAAGCTAGGAATGTCATTTGATTTCTAATGTTTAATTTTAATATTTTAAATATTCAGCGGTTAAACAAAGCAGCGAAAAGATGACGAATCTCGTTCGTTTTTCCTTTGCCGGTATATCCGAGGAATTTCCGAGAAGAAAACTAAACGAGTTCGTATGTGCCGGCGTTGAAGAGACGAATGTTATGTTACGAGGCTTGTGTACATGAAGGGTTGAGACGGACTTGAAATTTCCTCACGTTTGTACACCTCGTTACTCCCAAGACGTTCCACGCACCTAATCCGCACGTTGGCGTAATCAATCGTATTGTTTGACACACAGCGCCTTCGATAGGAAGTGCCGGTTACGTCACTGCGGCAACAGGTTGTTACCAATGGGAGCATGAATGAGCGAGCGAGCGAGCGAGCGAGCTCGTTTCGTAGCGACACGGCCTGCCCCTGCGTTAGGCAAAACCGAGTGCGATCTCTCGTTGCTGGATGCATTCCGCCATTCGTAATCCTGCAGCTATTCGACAACAAAATCGCGTTCGAGTCGCGCGTTTTGCGATACTCGTTCACTCTTTGTATATGTCTTTCTTCATCCGTTCTTTCTCTCTCTTTCTCTCTTTCCTCTATAGTGAGTGATTTATCGACGACGACGATGGATGCTCATATCGATGGATTCTCACGATCCGCTTCGCGAAGCGCGGTCGTTATTAAAAACTACCAGCATCAAGAATGTCACGTGAGCCATGCTGAAAAATTTTTCTAACCGATATTCATCTTCAAAGAGAAATTCTCGATTGGTTAATTAGAAAAAGAATTGAATTTCAGTTGAAAAATGACTATAACTATACGGAGAAAACAGTTTTGCTGGCGAGTTTGTCTAAAAATTTGGACAGATACAGATCTGAAAATAATTTCGTTAAATCATCATGTAGAATTCTTAAACATAATAATAATATTGCAAAAAGTTTTTTATTTTCTAGCAATCAATTTGAACGTTGTATGTAATAATTTGGAAAAATCAATAAAATTATTTTCAGATCTATATCTGGTCAAATTTTTTTAGAAATTGTCTTTCTAAATGAAGAGAATATGACAGTAATGATGTATGTTCTCAAAACGATAATCATCTGAACCTGCACGGTAGTCGGGATGAAAACTTAAATATTTTACTTTTTACCATTAATAACTGTAATCTTTGAAGAATTTCAATTAAATTCATTTCATCGTGAAAATGACTGCCAATGCCAAGATTTTTCGAAAATATATCATCAAAACATAAAAACAGCTAAATTTTCAAAAGTTATGAATGTATGTTCAAAATAAAAATATAATAGGCAATAAAAATTAAGCTTTCCTCTTATTCATTTTAATTTTAATTCATTTCGTCCCTGACTGCTCATTACAAAATAACATTTCTATTTCTGCATCTTTCGAATTGTCTCTGACAGTTATTATAGCAACCATAATCAGCTGGATTTTATTTCTTTCTGGACGAATATATTTCGGTCGCCCGCTGGACGTTATTTCTTCCGCCTATTTTTCAAGCACGAGCATTCCGAGCTCCTTAAAAGTTAATCCTCCAAGGAATCCAAAGATATTCATTTCTGTCGCGCGAGAATACTCACGCGCTTCGCTAAAAGTTCGCAATTTATTGCGTTTTTCACACGGACGGGAGAAATGGATTGGCAAGTTGGAGGAGATAAGAAGAACGCGAAAAGTAGCTAGAGCGTGTCGAAGAAACGTGATGCGGGAGCCAGCTGATAGCGTTATGTATGTATGTACGTAATTGCCATCCATCGCGCGCTCCGAAACCGTGACGAGAGATTGAGAAACGCGAGGGACGCGTGAACGGCGGTTTCGTTCTGTCGTGCAGGACGGGATAGATAAGAAATGTGAGCGATGTCGTTCCCTCACGGCGTCCCTTCTGCGACGAGCATAACTCGTAACGAGACGTCGCTTCAAGAAAATGATTTGCGGTATTCGGCCAGCATTCCGCTCGAAAGCGACAGCGTTACTTCGGACGATCGTCACGCCTATTTAAAGATAACGACGTGTGTATTACGCGGAGCAATACTATCTCTCATAGAAAGTAACGTTCACCGGAAGATGTTTCTCTCTTGGATCTATTTTATCGAGTACTACTACCTCGAGTTGATCAATGTGAAACAAAGACTGAAATTTTTATGAATTTGATAAACTAAGCTTTCGATGCTTCACGAAGGAGTAAGGGTTTTGATTTAGTATGATGAAATTCGTGAAAAATTTATTATAAGCTTTTCTGCAAAACATCTTACTATCTTATTTTATGCATATTGTAAAATATGAGAATCTACCTTCTTGATAAGAATAATTTTCTTCTTTAATGTAAGTAAAGGTGTGTGTGTGTGTGTGTGTGTGTATAAATATTAATAAAAATATAAATATTTTATAGATTGTGTTCTATTATTCTTTTCTCAGTATCTAAAAACTGACTATAATTTTGTACTTTTCCAGAAATTATTTAATTATTAAATTTGTATTGACTTTTATAAAAAGAAATCATGTAATACTGAAATTAAATAATATATTTTGTTTTAACTTTTGACTTTAAAACTATAATTATAAATATAGTTTAGGATTTGTTTCAAAATTTGATTTTTAGTTCGTTTTTTATTTTGTTTCTTCCATTTTTTATCTTTTCTTTAATTGATTTCAAGGAATATTCGTAATGATAAAAGTTTTCATTTATACTTTAATATTTTATTTATACTTTAATTTAGACCCTATCTTAGAATGAAGAAAATATTAGAAATAGAAATAAATATTAAATTTTAAAAATGGCCCATTGCGCATTACGTTTAATTTTTTCCGAATTTTCATTTCCAAAATTTAATATTTATTCCTACGTTTCTAATATTGTCTCCATGTGTGTGCGCAGGGCCTTGCGTTAAAATCGCGCGAAAATTATTCGACGCAAGATCGATGGACCGATCGAGCATCCGCATCGTGCGTCGCTACGTCGCGAGATGGAGGCAGCGTACGCGAGGGTTTTTTTTTTCTTATTTTTCCCTGTCATTCGCGACAGCTGTCAAAGATGCATATGCTCATACACAGCATCGTCTGCCGTTTCGAGGCAACGTCAATCGACGCGACGAGGACACGTCGGAGCGGCGGTGATAAGCGCGGAGGCGGAGGTGCGTACGGTACGGATAAGTCCGCGATGCCTCGCGAGAATCGCGGGATCTCTGAGGATCCGTAGATGCGTCGCGTCGTACCGCCTCGTCGCGCCGCGCTCCTCCACAGGCAGGGTGGCGATTACGAGGCGAGGATAACCTCCCGGTTCCCGCACGTCCGCGCGATCGAGATACACGCGAGATCTGTTCCGTCGCGTATTGGTCGAAACCGTCACGTCACAGCTCGGCCATGGCGTGCCTGATGTTGAACCAGGAAAATGTGAGCTTGAAAATACCGTCGGTCGAGACGGTGGACGGAGTCACGTATTATTGCATCGAGGTTGGGATCGCGTCGATCAAGTGGACCGTGAAGCACAGGTATGACATTGGCAAATCACCTCGTTCTGATGGCCAACAACAAAGATCTCTTTTTTTTTTTGTTCCAATTAATTCGAAGCTAGACGTAAAAGTCCGGGACATATACAGGGTGACAAATATATTCTGGTACAGGAAAAAATTTCAGTGTGTTCAGAATAAATATAACTTAAATTCATTTTCAATAATTGGAAAGTAAAGCTGCATTAAACGCTTGTTATTAGATGTTGATAAATAAAACGCTAAAACTGAATTCAAGTTATTTATTTTAAATATACTGAAATTTCCTCATAAAAATATATTTAGATTTTTAGAATAGATATAAAGCACAAGATTGATTGTAATGAAAATAAAAATGTGTAAAAGGAGGAGAAAAGAAAAATCACTGTGGCCTTTCTTTGTTTTGAAGGTACAGTACATTTGCAACATTGCACGAGAACTTTGTCTCCAAGTACTGTGTCGAGAAGGACATTTTACCACCGAAAAAGCTCATAGGCAACAAGTGCGAGATCTTCGTGGAGAAGCGTAGACAGAGTCTCGAGATATATCTTAATGCTGTTTACAATTACTTGAAGAAGGCGATGCCTAGAGAACTGGCTTTATTCTTGGATCTGCACGAATACGACATATACTTTTTGGTACAAAGCATGGCTTTGGAATTTTTTGTTACGGGCGATACTTTGCTGCAGACCTCAACAAGTTATAAATTTAATCCTGTACAGGTAATTACAATGGCGTAGCCTTTTAATTGATGAAAATTTACAAGAAGTAAAATCGTACGTTTCTTTTTATTTACAGTTGTACGCGATTAGCGAAAGATTAAAACAACCGTGTCCAGTGTTGGAAGTTGTGGATAAGGAATACGACTTCAGTCATGTTTTGGATTTTAATTCTCGTCTAACTAGTCTCACGATTGAAGGGAGTTCGGAATCCTACAAGACTAGTAACATTTATCCATCTGCGTTGTCTATCGAATTATCCACTTTCAAAAATGTACGACATCTAACGATCGATCGATACCCAGTGGACAAAATTTACAACATGGGAAATCTTCGAGATACCGTGACCATGCTGAAAGTTACCAATACCAAGCTCAGAAACATCGTGGAATTAGCCATGTGCGAGGAGGTTCATAAAAACATCGTAAATGCTAATGATTCTCACGTATGGATGAAGGTGACACACCTGGATCTTAGCGACAATCGTATAGAAGTTATAGATGAGGCGATTAAACTGTTACCACATATAGAATGTCTAACGCTAAACAACAATCACTTGTCCGAGATCTCCAACGTGACGTTGTTGCCGAGATTGTCACAGTTGTACCTGGCGTCTAACAATTTTACCAGTCTGCCGGATGATCTCCATACGAAACTCGGATACATTGTTTACATCGACTTGTCGCAGAATAAACTCACGTCACTCGCCAGTTTTTCGAAACTGTATTCGTTGGAAGGATTGGACGTGAGTTGTAATCGTATTGAGAAAATCGAGGAGGTGAAACACATCGGTCATCTGCCTTGCCTCGAGAACCTAAGGCTAACGGGTAATCCAGTATCAACGATAGTCGATTACAGGGTTAAGGTATTGGAGCCGTTTGGTAAAAGAGCTGCCGACATCTGCTTGGATAATGAAAAGCCAAATCAAAAGGAACTCGATACTGTATCGGTTCATCAAGCGTTGCGCATCGCGCGGGAGGGTAAATCGCCGTCGTTCACCGCGTCCGATGCGCCACTATTCTCCGCCGAGGTTCCAAGTATATAGAAGATTTTAAACGCGATTTTCTTTTTTATCGCGACAATCGTGTTACGTGAAGTATATTTAGATACGAAACAAAAATGTTTTATACGATATGTAGACTTTATCACTACGAGACTGATCTTTTTCTCTCACGGTAATATTGTTTTTGGTCTCGATTTGTTATACATTACTTGCTATTTTCATTGATACAATCTAAATGAATAAAAATGACATGCTTTTTACTTCTATCGCGATTTATCAAACATTGAAAAAAGATAAGACGTCTTACAATGTTTATAACGTGTTGTAATCTCGTGTATAAAAGTCTGAGATAAAACACGTCTTGTAAACAAGTGAAACTAACACGTAATCCATGACAAAATTGTACGAACATGATGTCAAACTAATTTATAAATTGAATGAATTTCTAGCGTTTTATACATATCACACAGATTTTTATCGATTATTCGTGATAATTCGTGTATCAGTTGTAAATTATACAAATATTTGATTTTATCAATATCTTTTTAAAGTTGGTATAAATAAACTGATTATATATTATATGTCGAGGTAATTTTTAAATCTTTCCAATTTAAAAAAATAATATAACAGATTTTGTGTAATAATTTTATAATAATTTAACGTAAGATATTTATCTGTGTGAGAAAGAATTATTTTGTTAATAAAGATAAATTAAATACATACGATGTGTACCTTGTTATAAATATTCTGTTGAACAAATAAATTTTATATATTAATTGCTATGAATTCGAAATTATTCCATTTGTGAGCAGATTACTCGCTTTATATTTATGGATAGGAGTATAATTTTTGTATATCCTTCATTGTCAGAAAAATATAAATTTGTTATTGTATTTATCATAAATTTTTATTTAAATTTGCGTTTGCATTACCTTTAAATATTATGTTTTGTATGTCGTGTATATGTGTGTGAGTGCGTGTGTGTGCGTATGTATTATGTATGTGTATTTGTATTGTTGCGCATATTTCGAAAATATTAAAATATTCATAAATAATATCAATATAATGGTCGTGTATTCTAAGCATTGTGTTATAGTCTTTTAACGTACACCTAAACTAACACATATATAAGTTAACCGTTACAAACGGTTTGATTTATAAGTTTCAATTCGTTGGTACGCAAGTGCACAAGTAAGCTCACAGTTTTTCAAAAAAAAAAAAAAACGTCTAACTAAAATACATCTTTTCAAAAGGCAATGCACATTTCTGGGAAAAAAAAAGTTATTATCTCTACGAGGGAATCTGAAATATTGTGTGTATCAAAGGAATAAAGCTGCTCGTATGAAAAAGGAAAAAAGTATTTTATCAAACATTTTAGCTGACTTTTTTAGCTGACATTGATAGCACTTCAATGTTGTTCTATATTTGATTTATTTTCTTAATGAAAGTCGATACCAGGCACTTGGCGTGGTCGTTTTTCTGCTATTTAATTAAAATTGGTCAAACTTTTTCGCACGAATGAATCGAACTCCTCCAGGTTACTAAGGCAATAAGGTAATAACAAAAGTAGGATAATACAAGGACTTACGAAGGAAAGGTCCAATTTGGATAAGTCGGAAGTTTGGTTGGATAGTTGGAACGGGCAGAATTCGAGGCAGAAAATTAGAAATCGACTTTCCGCAATTCGTCACGTGTTTACTGATGCGCAATCGGGATTAATTTCTCGCCCGAACCAATCGCTGGTAAGGGCGCCTCCACGGTAAGGACACCGTCCTTGCTCAGGGAAGACTTGATGCTCTCAGGATTAGTTCCTTTCGGCAACAGGAATTCCCGATTGTACTCTCTGTACACCGATTTGCTCTCCGTCTTCTCCTCGTGCTTAGCGTGAACCTGGACAAACGAAAATTGCATTGCGTTAAATAAATATAATTATAAATAATAAACCAAGTTTTACAATTATCATCATTCGTATGAATCCGGCCCATTGAGTAAATGCAAATAAATGCAAGATGTGTAATAATTTTGGATCCGATTATCAGTCAGTCAGTTTAAAAATTATTAAATAAATTAGGTTTAACTTTTTATCTTTTAGATATACTTATAAAATCTTTAGATATACTTATAAAATCATCGCAGAATATTATACATATAGATTTAAGTATTCGGAAGAAGAAAGCATTTTCTATAAAAAAAAAAAAAATCAATTCTAAATGATGCAACTAGACCTTTTTTAATGCGGCAGCTTCTGCTGCCTTGAAACTAAAATATACTATGGCCAGCAGCCAAGTTACGCCTTAAATTCCTTAGTACATCAAGCTTATTATTAGTCAATTATTACTACCGTTATTAATGGATATTAATATCTGCCTGCAATCCCTTCACGGGGAATGCATTCGTTACACGTGCTTCCTGACGTGATTTTTATTAACAGTCGTCTCGCGTGCGTCATGTACTAAAGCCGCATGTACTAAATGTCGTGCTTGATTAATTCATTATGCGTCGAGCCGTCCCCACTTAGCCCTTCACACGGTTTTTTTTTCTCGGGACCCGAAAATGTGTTGCGAGCGACACAATTATCACTTCATCGTGGCTAAATTTTACGAGCACCAATTGTAAGAGTAATAGTACATTCGAATGTGTCCTTCGTGATTCTCCAATTTCCCTGAGCGATCTAGAAATAGGGCAACGAGAATACCCGTAATAGTGATCGTATTACTCATGCGTTCGACCCATGAGTCATGCTCGCTCCGTTTGACCATGCGTAGGTCTCGTCTCCTTAGACGCGTAGCTCGGTATAATATGTCAGGTATCGATCTCATTTTCCCATTCGCGAATACTACACACGAGATATCGATTTTTATTTTGTATGAAAAAGCAGGACAACGACGAAAGGCTTCATAAAAATGAAAACTTTCCTGAATTTCTCGAAGATCATCAAGTCTCTTTCAGATTAGCACTATGTGTATCTATGAAAATGTCAAAAACTATGTACAACTATGAATATTAATTCTGAAGATAAAAATGCAATTTATAATGACGTGATCCTTCAAATGGATTCAAATGAATAATTCATCAATTACGTAATTAAGGAGACATTTTATTCTACATTCGAGATCAAGTTTACATTGAGAAAAAGATTTTATTTAGCAATTTTGTTTGACTTGTTTGAATTTATTTAATTTAAACAATATAATTTTATATTAAACACCGCATTTTATACTACACCATTTTGTTCAATTAAAAGTTTTGTTTCGTTAGAATACATCATGTTGTTTATTAGAAAGAACATTATTATTTAAAGGAAATAAAATTTATCTTTGAAAAATAATACCTTGACTCAATTAAATTGTTTCAATGAAAGAGAGATTGTTCAATATTGTTAAAACATATAATAAAAAGTGTTATTTTTTCAAACGATTCATTAAACAAATATTTTTTTTTAAATAAACCTATTTATTATCTGAAAAACCAAAACAATCGAATTTGTTGGATCAATAATTGGTTTGGACTATTTAAAAAAATAAATTTCTTTGAACGTAATAAAATTTATTTATTAAATCCAAAGAAATCGTTCTCTGTGTGTACAAATATATACAGATAACCGGCGTCATGGCGTGTCGCTAAGTTTTACGGAAACCCGTTGAGACAGAGCGAAAAATGAAACCGTTCTCGTCGTAAAAAGAACCACGACGTCCACAACGACGACGAAAGTGGGTTACGAGAGCCACGACATAATCGGGATGCCTGCGTCTTATGAGAACCGTGGAGGTGGAGTAGCAAAGGGATCGAAACATACAGTAGGAACGAAGGACGAGACAGAGAAGATGGCGGACTGTATCGCCATCACTTCCACTTCCTTCTGCATCACGTCGACGCGAATCGATATTTTAAAGCTTATCCTTCGAGGAGTCGTCCTTCCTCTCGCTCGACCCCGATCTTCGCGAGACATCATTTCCCGCTCCACAAAGTTTTTGCGTAGGAAAAACATCTGACACGAGGAGCGCTCGGGGTATTCCTACTTCTCATTTCAGGATATCGGTCTTAAGCGTATCTCCGCAACGAGACTTCCGTCGAGACTCGCTCGCTTTTTTCACTTGACTCAGCGATCGATGTGAATTTACATTTTATCGTAGAAGCGATCGCCGCTCGCCGCTCGTATGCGCGCGGACTTTATACGCCCCGGAATTCTTCAAATCTCGCTCGCGTGAGGCATTACGAGGCTCGTTACGATTCGTTTTTTCGTCGCTAAGCAGTTCACCTAGATTTTATCGACGAAAAGAAAGCACCCCCCCGATGAAATATGCATGAAGTCGATTTGATTTGTCTGTCAGGCTTGAGCGCATACGTCGTACCATTCCTGACGTGCCTTTTTCATTCTTTTTAAATAATCGTCGTCAAATCTGAGACGATTTACGTACATTATCGGTACACTTGAAATTTTAATTAAAACTTAAACTAAAGTTACTAAAGGTTGCATACGATTTCGGTAGCTGCTCGAAGACGCGCGAATATTGCACAATTCTCACAACACCGTTGTCGTTGAGTTTCGCTCGAACGAGTGTTGTTACGACGATGTTGTTACATCATGTTAATGACGAGTTCGATCAGCGACGTATTTAGAAATCGCGGAGTCTGTGTGACAGCGAAGCGAGCGACTCGCCTTGAAGAGAATCGGTGGCGAGTAATGTTGACTCACATGATCAAATAACAAAAGTAGCACTTACATCTTTGTAAACGCGCGCGCACGCGAAATATTCTTATCAAGCCATATCTTCGACACCAGAAAATCTTTCTAGTATCGAATATCTGAAGATCGAATTTAATCTCAAGCTAAATTAATTAAATTCGAAGCAGTGCCTGTTTCATCAAATGAATTTTAGAATATATACGGAAAAATTAATCTTAAATTAAGACTATATATTCTCATATATAAGCAAGAATATTATAATTTTCTTAGAAAAATTTTACTCTTGATTGAATTTGTATTGACGCAAGTATAGATTATATATCCTCATATATAAGCAAAAATATAATCTTTAGATAAAGTTTTCAGTCTTGAATTGAGTAAAAGTAATATTTGCATCAACATAAAATTCAATCAAATCAAAACTAAAATTTTTAAGAAAATTATAATATTTTTTCTCACGTATAGGAATATTTAAGACTATTTTTTTTTCTGTATTCTGTATTAAAACGAATAATGGAGATATATTCGAACAATACAAGTGTGACTCGATTATTTCGATTGATATTAACAGGAAATCGCGACGTTTGATTTACGGATCACACTCGCCGTTCGTCGCTAATCGCGATGGTATTTCTTGAAGCGTGTCTCGACGGCTCTTTGTCGCGCGCGAGAAAAATGCAGGTGCAGGATATGCGACCGCGCCCATTAGAGCGGCAAACAACGTCAAAAGTGTAAAGTCGCGAACGGTAGGTGAGGTGTGTCGTGTTAATTACATTACGTAAAAGCCGCTAATGAGTCGTTCGCTTCGGTCCGTTTCTCGAACGTCTTCTGTCGTGTTGCTGCGAAGATCAGCCGATTGGATTTATCTATCATCGTCTACGATAATGCCAATGAATGAAATAAGCTAGCCTTAACCTTGGGCCTAAAAAAATTGAACTGACATTCGATGCCCTAGCCTATCCCTGCCATGTCCTTCCTCTCTCTCTCTCTCTCTCTCTCTGTTTATCATTAAGACTCTAGCGGATTCGCATTTGATTTCAAGGCGCCTCGCCTTGCATTAATTTTTAGGTATGAATTTCTTGGCACCGCCTCGTGGTCGGCATAATAAACATACAGATGTAAAAGTAGTCGAGATAACGAACGTAGCTGATGTCATTTTTTCGCTGACCTTTACGACAGCATCAGCAAAATCTCGCAAACTTTTGTTCTTCTATGATTGTTATAAAAGGAAAAACGACTCATTCTCGTTATTTAATAATATATATATATATATAATTCTTATTATTAATTTCTCAGTTCCTTTAAAGTATTTTACTCGGGACTTTCTATGAGGAAAGAGTGTCTTTTTATCAATCGATCAACTTTCGAAGATCCCGAGAACAAATACTTTAACACGAATCGATGTCAAGCACTGAGATTTCGTTTCTCAATAAACGAGTCACGAGGTAAATTTTCTCATCCGCTAACGCAATTCTCTTGTTGCTCTTGGTGCCTCGGGATATCGATCGTGCTGACCGTAAAATTAAAACTAGTACGAGGAAAAGCACGCGGAGGTAACCCTAGACATCTCACAAGACCAGGAAAAAAAGAGAGGCCGAAGGAGAAAATGAAACGGAAAGAAAGAGGAAAAGGAAAGAGACGCCGAGAACGAACTACACTTGTAATTCAACTCTTCGCAGGATCTAAGTTTTCGCGGTGGATATCATCTTACGAGAAACGAGCATTACGCAATCTTACCAGCTGTAACCACTAGTCATTGGAGTGACCGATTTGCCAAACTTCAGCACCTCCAATCTACTCGGCAATGAGATTTGGGTTACGGTATGCATATCATAGCAATCTAATTGTATCATCGATTTTCAGATATTTTCGAAGATTATCTTAAACTGTTAAACATTTTTTTATATCAAAATTACGTATAAAAAATTAAATCCATAAAAAATTATTAAATAATTATATACTTTATTAATATTTTTTATTTTATTTCACTATCTTTTACAGAAGAATAATTATTATCCTTATTTTGTTGATTTAAATAAAAATTTGAGAAAATATTAATTGACAAAACATTGCAATTAACTTGATGCTTAACTTGTGCATTGTACAGTTTTAAATATAATAATTATATAGTATAATTGAATAATTTTTTTAGTTTGTAGGAGAGAGAGAGAGAGAGAGAGAGAGAGAGAGAGAGAGATTTCTACTGAAATACCCTCACATCGATAGTTATCCGTGATAGCTAGTGTTCGAAATTCAGTGCCGCGATTGTCGAAAATAACGTAAGCCGCTGGCAGCTCTGACTCACAAACTAAATATAACTATGAATTTTGATGTTTCTACTTCCACTTCTGCTTTCGCGCGAATGAAAACAGACCCGCAATCTTTCCAAAATTGATTAAAACACCCGTATATTACTAACTCGAGATAAATTTTCGAGATATTTAATAAAATGCATTTACGACGGAGAAAGGAGATTATATACGTTCGAAATAAACAAAAATCGTCAATTACAGAATATATATATATATATATATATATATATATATATATAATA